AAAAAAAAAAAAAAAAAAAAAAAAAAAAAAAAAAAAAACACAAACCCCAAAAAAAACCAAAAACAAGGTTTTGCGAAACAAAAACGTGATCACTTTGTGTACAATTATCAAGTGTTCAGGGAGTTACAAGTGTTTTTCCTTTGATAGTGCAGGATGGTTGTTTCTGTCCTGATGTGCGAGTGATAGCACTCAGGCTAGCTGCAGAGCTGATGCATTTGTCTGCAGGTCAGAGTGACCTGCTGGGGGTAACAAACAAGGACACACACGATTGTCACAATACATGCCAGGACAGACCAAGGAATAGAAATCTACTCCTTGTTAGGGTGCTCTTGTGGACCCAATAGATCCACAGCAGGTCTTCTGGTGCACTTTTTGGGTCCTTTTAACTCCGTGCCATCAGGAACCGTTTTACAGCGATTTTAGCATTTTCTCTAGAAATCCAACTGACATAGTCTGAACAATACGTTCAAATTAAAACTCAGAGGAAAGTGAGTTTGCCGAGAAATTATTGGAGTGTCCCCTTACAACACGACCACAGCTGAACCATGACTCAGCATGAGCCATCTGTCTAAACAGATTTCAGCCAAGACTTAAAAAGAAAAAAGAAAAAAAGTCTCCAGAAAGTAAATAGCCCAGTCTCCCGTCCCCCACAGGAAGCAATTGAGATGTTTCAACTGATCTGACTCAGAAGACATCATTTTGTAGGCAGGGCGTTTACGCACAGCTCTTAACTGCGTCACGTTTTCTTTAATCTGGGCAGAGCAAGGTGCAAGTCATCCAGGCTAATACATACAATGACACAAGTGTTTACAATAACTGGACTCTGTCGCCACTGTATTGTGTCAGAAATGCCCTGTAAGCACTTCCTTCTACAATTTAAAAAACAAAAACAAACCCACACACTTTTGAGAGGTACATTATGATACTGCACAGTGCATTGCTGATACTTCTCAGCTGCTTTAGAGAACGCAACTTTTCATAACAGTCGTTTGGAAATAAGCTAGAGTAAGATTGTGTTCTCTGAAGTGGATCTTTGCATCAGGAGCAATTTCCCCCCCCAAAGAGTAGTTTAGCATCACATCATTTACTCACTAGAGGGCACCAAGTCTACATCCATAGACACACAAGCGTTGGCTTTTAATAGTACCTCACAACTGGGAGATGAAGTCAAGACAGAAGACAAGATTTCAATTTAATAATTTATTTAAGAAAACATTCAGCTATGTCTTCTTGCTGCACCTGTTGGTAGGAGAGACACTTTAGATACCAGCCAGATATAAACAGAACAAAGTAATGAGATACTCACCTTCTAGTATCTTGGACGTAGCTTGATTGTCATCCATTTGGCACGCGGATGCTCAGATTTTCTTGGGTTGAGATATTCCATCTGCTGTGGGCGAGGTGTGGTAGTTTGTGGCACCTGCTCGACCTCTTTGTCACCAAGCCGTCTGATAGCATAGCCTCCAAAGTGTTCAGGGACCTCATAGATCCTGGTGTTACTTCCATAGGCAGGCAGACTATGAACTTCCTGGGCTGGATTCCCGATTCCCCATGGTGCTTGAAGAGGGTTGCTACTGGTGGGCCTCCGCTCTGCGAAGGTGTAGCTGGGTTTGTAGCTCACCATCATGTTCGAAGTGGAAGACGGCATGTAGCCTACTCGGGTGTTCCCAGTATTTGCAGGAAGCCATGTGTTTCCGTATGATTTCCTAAAGCCATGGACGGCGAAGTCTCTAGCAATACTTAAAGGTTCAGATTTATGTTGAGTGACCCGTTTTGCAGGAGCGCTTGCTGATGTTTGCCCCCGTACAGCTGCACTGGCAGGTTTCTGTGCTACAGAATGCTGAGAGGCTGGTTTAAACAAGGAGCTTCCTGTAAGAGTTTGAAGAGATGCGGCACTGCTGGAGCCAGCCTTACTAGTTTGGGGTGCAGCACGCTGAAATGGCCAAGTCATTTCCTTGTTGCGATCAGGAAGGCTGTTCTGGTTTTGACCAAGTCCATTCAGCGAGTTCCCACTTGCAAAAGAAAGGCTGAAAGAGGAGCGGTTTGGCACCGCCTGAGCATTAACGCCCTTCACATTTGTGTACCAGTTAGGTTTTGTCACCGAGCTGCTCTGCACTAACCTTACCAAGCTTTGGGCTGGTTCTGAAACAGTCTGTTTATAGCTGCTAGCAGAAAGCCTTTCACTATAGCCTCTGTTAACTGTAGTTCCTGTGCTGAGGCTACTGCTGTGAGCTACTCGTGGAGAAATGAAGGCCTGTCTGATTTGGTCCTGGGAATAGCTGCCATCTAGTCTTCTTAGTCTACCATCTTGCTGTGAAAAGCCAACATATCCGTTACCGTTGTGCATCTGGGGGCTATATGCTGAGAAAGAAATAGAGTGTAAGCCCACTGTGGTAATCAATCACAGCACTAAAATAACTTAAACATATAAATTCCCCACTTACTTCGTGTAGCCCATGAACAGCACACATGCTCTGCTTGAACTAAGAAAATCAGCAATACCCTGCTCAGAAGCAAAACATCAAGGTCAGGAGAAATGGGACAACAACAAGGTTAAGAATAGCTGCAAAGTAGAGCCTTACCCCAAACCAGCTCCACAAGCCCTTCCAGATTTCCAAAGCATGCTGCCTTACTCAAAGCAGCAGTAACACAAACAGTAACTCTGCATGTGTGTGCCGCAAAGAGGTGACATTTCTTGCAACCTGTATCCAATCACAGGCTAATGAGCAGATTGTTTACAGCTGCTGTTGTGCTGCTGTCAGGCTGAATGCTGGAGATTGTTCCAGAAAGCAGGTCTGACAAAGTCTCATCCTGAAGTCAGAGTCGATTAACTCATTTTTTGGTTACAGATGATCAGTTAGTTCAGTCGACTGTAACTTTGTTCACACAGAGTTACGTGTGTAGGGGTAGTGGAAAAACCCCCATCATCATCACCATGGCAACTGGGAAAATATAAAACTGAGCCTTGAGTTTATAAATCATTTTGGGGCTTTTTTTCACCTTTATTAGAGAATTTTTGTAAAGATGAGACAGGAAAGTGGAGAAGATGTGCAGCGAAGGGACTCAGAGGGGTCAGAACCAAACCTGGGCTGTTATATTGAGACTCATGCCTTCTGGTCATCTGCTCAACCACTAAGTTAAATCAGCATCCCACAGAGCCTTAGGTTTATTTGGAGGAATAAGGAACATGAGTGTCAGTGTGAATTATAACATTTTTCTCAAATAAATAAATAAATAAATAAAAATGGAGGGGAGCACTTTCCTTTCGCATCATCTGCTCAGTCATCCTAGCTTGAATCTTTTATTAATAGACCAAACTGGAAATCCATCAAATCTTCACATTTATTTTTCTTGTAAATCTCAATATATTTTTATTATGCTTTAACCTGAAATAGAGAAAATGCAAATGAAACCAACTGAATGTAGCCCTATGGATCAAACAGATACATATAGAGCAGCTCAATTTATATAGCTCCTCATATCTAGAAGTTTACTTACATACAGCATCAAATCCCAACATCAGTCAATGAAGGTGCTTTATAAAGTAAGATGAAGACCCTACAATATTACAACAGTGGAAAGGAAAAACTCTCTTTTAACAGGAAAGAACGTTTTACAGAACGAGGCTCAGGGAGGGGAAGCCACCTGCTCCTGATGGGAGAAAGAAGGATGAAAGGCATACTGTGGAAGAGAGCCATCCATCCCGTCAGGGTCATGGGGTGTTGGAGCCTATCCCAGCTGCCATAGGGCAAACAGCAGGGTACAGCCTGGACTCATCACCAATCTGACACTGGGCTAACGCAGAGAGACAGATAACCATTGACATCTATGGGCGATTTAGAATCACCAGTTAACATGACCCCGCTAACTGCAGATCTTTGGACTGCAGGAGGCAGCTGGAGAGAACCTCAGAAAGGCCTGAGCCAGGACCTCCTTCCTATAAGGCAATAGTACTAAGCACCACATCACCATGATGCCCAAAAGAATGTCAGAGATTAATCATCAGCAATAATGATTAAATGCAGCACAGTGAGTGAAGAAGAAATACTCATCATAGGATTTTCAATCAGCCTCTAGGCCCAGGCTCCTCCAGCAAGGCACCTACAAGTAAACTGACACTGACTTCAACGGGCCATCACAAGGTAACACCAATCTCAACATTTTCAAAAAGGCAAACCCAGGAGTTGAAGAGGAAATCGCTTAATTTCATGTCTGATGAACTGAGCAAAGCTAAACAACAGGGTATGCTACATGACCTAATGGATGAGATAAAACAACTAAAAAACTTGATAAACGAGAAGGACAAGAAAATAGACAACTTGGAACGGCAAATCGAGGACCTTGAACAATACACAAGAATGGATGACTTAGTGATAAGTGGACTGGAGACACAACACCGAACCTAAGCCAGAGTAACAGCTGGCGGAGGTAAAGACGGTCAAGATGCCCCAGTAGAGGAGCTGCATCACATCATTTACTCACTTGAACAGCAAGTGATAAAATTCCTTCAAACGAAGAATGTAAGTATTCAGAACCATCATATCGCCGCATGCCACGCGCTCCCCAGAAAAGACAGTAAAACAAAGCCATCAATTATTCTTCGGTTTGTGAGTTGCAAAACAAAGATTGAGTTACTGAAACAGGGAAAGAAGCTAAAAGGGACCGGTGTGTATTTAAATGAACATTTAACGAAAAAGACTGCTGAAATTGCAAAACGCAGCCTGAAACAAAATAAGATACAAGCGACCTGGACGAGGAACTGCAAAGTAAGGATAAGACTAAATGGCAATCCCAAAGAAGCGAAAGTTGTGATGATAAGAGAAAGACTTAGAGCAATATAAATAATCAGGAATCTGCTATGGAATCTATTGGAAAAGTGACGATTGGATAATAAACAATGGGTATGGAATGTGTTTCTGGCCTTATGGCTCAACAACAACAACAACAACAAAAAACACATGCATGACAAGTTTGGACACCGATTATAGGTTTCCATTCAGAGATATTGAAGAGGAAGACTTTGATTATGAAAAGGACTGTTGAGGTGGTTATTTTGACACACGCTGAGAAAACGAACTTCAAAACGTTTAACTATGCAAAAAAATTTTAAAATTACAGAATGTTTAAGTAAGTTAAAAAAGTTTAATATTATTGCAATATCAGAAACATGGCTCGATAATGAGAAAGTTAGTGAAATGGGACTGGAAGGATACCAATTATTTACAATGAACAGGGTGAATAAAAAAGGAGGTGGTGTTGCTTTATATATAGATAAAGTTTTGAAATGTAGTCTGACTGAATGCATGTCAAGCACCATAGATGACGTATTGGAATGTGTTACTATTGAAATCCATGTTGAAAAAGCTAACAATATAATTATAAGTTGCATCTATAGGACACCAGGTTCATGCCTTTCAATGAAAAACTTGCTGCTATGTTTAGCAACCTAAATGATAAAAAAAATGGCAAATGGCCTGCATTTGTATAGCGCTTTACTAGTACCTAAGGACCCCAAAGCGCTTTACACAACCAGTCATTCACACACTGGTGATGGCAGCTAC